TAGAATTCTAGTAATTGTACTGGAGTTTTACATATATGACATGATGGTGGTCACACCAGTGGGCTCAATTTCAATACATTAAATTAGAATTGTTATGAAAATAATTTATATAAATTGTTTCTTCTATTATATTATTCAAACTGTTATGTCCAAATTATGATTATTATCAATTTTTTAGCTCAATGTGGTAATAATAAAACTCTTGCTTTTATTATTGTTGTTCATAGTGATTGCATCGATTGGTATCTACGAATATTTTCATTCTTCCAGACCTGCACCAGTACGGATTATATTGCTTTATCGAATATTCATCCATTATGCGCACAATTACTGACATCAATCCATATTAAATCCAAAAACCCCATGATGTTCGCATATTAATTTCAACCCATCATCCGGCTGTCCATTAACGCACTCTAACGCGGTATCAGTGACACTCCACTTTTCCCGGCGGTTACATATTTGTTATACATAACATAACGTGTAGCCAACAGAGCAGAACTGCACTTGAATGTAGACATATTTAAAACCATAATTTCTATTTTAACCCGCCTTTTTCATATAAGCATACTAGTTGTACATATCATTTTTAAATATTTGATGGGTAGTTGTAATTTTATTATCAAGTAAGAGCGGGAATTCAATTTAGACCTATACTTTTCAAAAACCCGGGACAATCAGGGATAGAAATCCAAATTCGGGACAAATAATGCTTTTAGAAAAACCCGGGACACAAGATGGAAATCCGTGACTGTCCGGGACCGTATGGTCACTTTAATAATCAACATATATGGCCTGAGTACATACACTTTAAATAAAGACTATACGTATAAATAAAATGAAATGTGAAAATTTATAGAGTATTGGATATTAACTTTTTTTATATTATTATAACACATATAGGGAAGACTGGACACGGTTGTGCCAGTGTATGGCAGTGACAGTTGTTATAACAAGTAAACTGTACAGATTTTGTGAAAGGGTTCAAGGGGAGAAAGATATAGTATGTTTGTTTGTACAAGTTTTCATTATTGCTTTTAGTGAGAGCCTGACATTAACATGATCTGTAGACCGTGCTTTTATAGAGTCAAAAGTAAGTTTTTACGTTCGATTTGTTTTTGTAATAACTGTTACTCGTACTCGTACGCAGAAAGATTACTTTGTTTGTTATTTTGCTATATGCTGAGCAAAAAGATGTAATACCAAAAACAGCACATAAATATAGAAACAAGCTCATCAGTCACCCAAATTCACATGCAAACTCCTTTATAACAGAGAACTATCGACGTAGGTAGAAAAGAAAAGCGTCACTGAATTCAATTCATCAACTATCCTGATAAAGATTGAAATAACTTACTTATTGAAATAACTTGTTAGTCATTATTTAAAAGAAATTATTTATAAGTAAATAGTTAAGATTATATAATTATCAATAAAATATTGTTAATAATATAACGAATGGGAAAACAGCTACTGAGTTGTTCCATTTAGTATTCAATATCCCTTTACGGCTGACAATGGTAAATTCCCCAAATTTATTAAATGTCCTTAACTGGACGGTTAGAAATAAAATAAGAGAATAAATATGTTGAGTATTAGTAGTTAATTACCAGCAATTAGTTTTTGCCTAGGTAATTTAGCTTGATCATAACGACGATTTGCCTCCAAAAGTGCGTTGGGTTCGGTTGTGACAAATTTTGTGGGCACGGTTACGACATGTTTTTGTGTTTTTTTTTTGGTTAGAGGTCTGAACATGTAAAGAAACGTTTGAACATATAAAAAAATATCAAACTGAACAAAAACAAATACTAACGATAAAGAGAGAAAAAGGCAATACAAGATCAAAAATACTCTATCTGGTTTGTGGAAGCTCATACTCTGAAAGTAGGGGTGGCGTAAAATGGATCAAGTGTCAGTGAATGCTTGTGCATGAACATATTTTCTTTGCTATATGAAAAATACAAAAGCAAATATATTTATGAAACTAGTAAAATTAATATAATTCAAAATACATGCAACTAGCTCTTTGATTGTTCATTAGTAAGTATAACCGCAAATAAATTACTTCACGCCAAATTAGACGTGACAACGCTGCACTCATATTTTCTAAGAAAATATTACATTTGCAACGACGCATAGGCAATTCGCATCTCAAGATTTACCTAAAGGGGTCCTGCGAGATACCTGAAGGCGGCACTAACAATATAGTCTTAACCCGGTCGCCAAGCTATCCACATTCAAATATTCCAATATTATATCAATACTAAAACTTTATTATACAAACAGTGTAAATTATATTCTATAAATAAATAAGTGTAAATCTATTTGTTATCAATCAATATTTACATTTAAAACGGTTGATAGAGCCACTAATTCTATCTGGTCCTTGAGCTTATACTTCAACAAAAAACATTGGTCCAAAACGAACCGGATGCGTCACCAGTGCGAAGAAAATAATTAAAATCTTAAATCTAAATCAAAAATTAAATAAAGTGAAAGTTCTAAACAAGACAGGAAGTTCTAACTTTGGCGCTACACCTACGAGCGAGCACAGCAGCAGCGAGTATATCAGGTTAGTCAAGCATTCCTTCCTATCAATCTTTCCTTATTTTAATATTTAGAGTTTTAATTCAATCTGTGTCAAAATGGAATCATTAAATAAACTCAAAAGGAAACAGCGAGTTACTAAAACACGTTTAACAAAATACGAAAAAGTGTGCAGGCAAATGTCCGAGCTACCTGCTTGCGACTTAAATATTGTAGACATAAAACGCCTTATCGATGATGTGAAGCCCTTGTTTGAAATCTTTGAAAATACCGTAATTAGTATAACAGCATTACTAGAAGACGAAAGTCAAATTAATAATTTAATAGAAATAGAATTAGATGAATTTTTTGAAATACATAATAATTGTTTATCAACTTTACTTAAACTTAGTCAGGCAGCATCAAGTAAGTCAGATACTAGTTCGAATAGTAATTCCAATGACACCACTATAACAAATAATTCGAACAACATAAAACTACCTCAAATCAATTTACCTCAGTTTGACGGCTCTTACTTAAATTGGCTACAATTTTATGATTCGTTTTCTTCTTTAATTCATAATGATTGTAACATCGGTAATTCTCAAAAATTTTATTATTTAAAATCATGCGTTAAAGGAGAGGCGGCAAGCCTTATAGAGTCTCTACCGGCAACTGCCGATAATTATATAATTGCGTGGGATTTACTAAAACGCGTTTCGAAAATAAGAAAATAATCGTAAACAATCATATTAAAAAATTATTTGATCACCCGCCAATGCATAAGGAATCAGGTAAAGACCTTCGTCATCTAATAGACGCGTTTAATAAACATTTAAGATGCTTAAAAATGTTACAACAACCCGTCGATCAATGGGACGGGTTATTAAATTATCTTGTAATTTCTAAAATTGATAAGAAAACTCATCAAGAGTGGGAGATGTTAATGAATAAAGGCTCTGAACTAGTTACATTTTCCGAACTTAGCAATTTTTTAAATCAACGCTGCACAATATTAGAAGCAATTAATCCGACTGAAACAAGAATCGGAAACTCTAGTAAATTTAAAGATATAAAATCTAATTACACAAAACATACAAAGTCTTACGCTACATCCACTAATCACAAAAATATTTGCCTAATTTGCAAAGAGCCATTTCATTCACCGTTCAAATGTCAAGGTTTTCGGGCACTATCTCCAGAAGATAGAGTAAGCAAAGTAAATCAATTAAAACTATGCACGAATTGCTTACGTTACAATCACAACAGTGATCAATGTACTTCTTTAAATCGTTGTGCCTTTTGTAATTCAAATCATCATAGTCTTCTGCATATAGATTCAAGCCAATTACCAGCTGTTAATAATGCACCACAAAATGTTTCGTGCCATACCGAAAATGATTCAAGTCAAATCATCTTATCTACCGCAGTAATTAACGTATTAGATAGCAATAATAGATATAGAGCATGTAGAGTATTATTAGATTCGGGATCACAATCCAATTTCATCACGGAGAAGTTTGCTAATGAGCTCGGTTTACATAAACAATCAATAAATATGTCAGTCCGGGGAATAAATCAAAATTCAACGCAAATTAAGTCAAAAACAACAATTACTTTAAAATCGTGCATTAATAACTTTTCATTAGATCTATCCTGCTTTATCTTAAATAATATAACAAATAATTTGCCGACGGTGTCATTCAATAAAAATATTTTAAATATCCCAAATTATGTAAAATTAGCGGATCCCACATTTAATAAAAGCAATAAAATCGATATTTTAATAGGTTCGGAAATATTTTGGGATATATTTTGTAAAGGATATATTCATCTAGGAAAAAATAGACCTATTTTGCAAAATACACAGTTCGGGTGGGTTATTGCTGGCAGCGTACCTCTCAACAATTCCAGTTCTTTTACGATATGTCATCATACGGCTAATTTAGAAAATCAAGTTCAAAAATTCTGGGAACTGGAAGCGTGTAGCGATATACAACATTTTACCGAATCAGAAAAACAATGCGAACAGCATTTTGTTGCCAATACAACGCGGGCAAACGACGGGAGATTTATAGTTAAAATTCCGTTTACAGACAATATAAAAAAATAGGGAATAGTAAGCAAATCGCGTTTAAACGTTTTATTTCACTTGAAAACCGTTTACGAACAAACAAAAATCTATTTAACGAATACAAAAATTTCATGAATACTTATATAACACTAGGGCACATGAGCGAAGTCAACGAATCTTCCGAACCCGCGACGTGTTTCTATTTGCCTCACCACGGGGTGGTAAAACCAGACAGTTTAACAACGAAATTGCGTGTAGTGTTCGATGCATCTTGCAAAACCGATGCAGGCCTGTCGTTGAATGAACTACAACTTGTTGGACCCACAATTCAAAACAATATTTCTCTATTATACTAAGATTCAGAAGACATGCGTTTGTACTTACAGCTGATATAGAAAAAATGTACAGACAAGTTTTGGTTCACGAAAACGACAGAAAAATGCAACGAATATTCTGGAGGGACAATCCTAATAGCAAATTAAAAATTTATCAATTAAATACAGTTACATACGGAACAGCTTCTGCGCCGTTTTTAGCCATACGCTGTTTGGAGCAGTTAGCCAGAGAAAACATAACTAACTATACAAAGGAATGCGAAATTCTCAGAAATGATTTCTACGTTGACGATTTATTAACTGGAACTGATAACATATCCGAATTATTCACTATTAAAAATAACCTTTGTAATATTTTACAACAAGCTAAATTCAATCTATATAAATTTAATTCTAATTATTCTAAACTTTTAAATGCAGATAATCCAACTTTAAACATCGGTGAACAAACTATTAAAACTTTAGGTATATCTTGGAATTCGGTAACAGACAGTTTTGAATTTGACTACAAAAATATAAGAATAAATCAAATAGTTAGTAAAAGATCCATTTTATCGGCAACAGCGCAAATGTACGATCCCATGGGCTTTTTATCTCCAATTATCGTCATACCAAAACTAATAATTCAAAGCCTATGGCGATTAAACTTATCATGGGACGAGCCCATTCCTTCGGAACTAGAAAATAAATGGAAACAGTTTTGTTTCGAAATAAAATCTATTAAAAATTTGAAAATTGAAAGACATATATTTTGTAATAATCGTATAAACACAGAATTACATGGCTTTGCTGACGCATCAGAGCAAGCTTACGGCGCATGTATATATGCACGGTCTATTAACAAATATTCTGAAATCAAAATCAAACTAATAGCGGCAAGATCTCGAGTAGCACCATTAAAAAATATTACACTCCCCCGTCTCGAGCTTTGTGCGGCACAACTGCTAGCAAATCTTGCGCAAATAACTAAACGTGCATTAAATATCGCGTTTGACAAAGAATTCTATTGGAGCGATTCCACTATCACTCTTTCGTGGATAAGATCTCCATCTTATAAATGGAAAACCTTCGTTGCCAATAGAGTTTCTGATATTCAAACAAAAACCGACGCAAATAACTGGCTACATGTCCGATCGGAAGACAATCCAGCGGACCTCATATCACGCGGGTGCTATACACATGATTTATTGAATTCATCCTTGTGGTGGGCAGGCCCATCTTGGCTACAAAATCTAACTGAAACACAGCGACGTGCAACTGACAATATTTCAATTCCTGAAACTGATGTCGAAAGTCGAATCACAAGTTTGACTTGTACAAAATTTAACAATAACGAACATTTTTTCTTATACTCTTCTCTTATTAAACTCGTGCGCGTAACTGCTTTTTGTTATCGATTTTTACAAAATTTAAAACTAAAGAAGAAAGAAAAAGAACTACTGTATGGCCCACTCACGGTCGATGAATTCAATAATTCACTAAACAAGTTAATAAAAATATCACAATATGAAATATTCAAACAAGACATAGATATAATCGCGCGTGGGGAAGCATTACACAAATCGTCGAAATTAAAATCATTAACACCGTTTTTAGACAAAAATGGAATATTGCGCGTCGGCGGTAGGATAAAGAATTCAAATTTACCGTATGATAAATGCCATCCGATAATACTACCAAAAAATCATCAATTGACTATTCTAATAACTAGGCATGAGCATTTAAAACTGTATCATTGCGGAGCACAGATGTTATTAAATGCGTTGCGTAATACTTATTGGCCTATCGGAGGCAGAAACCTGACAAGATCGATCGTGAAAAAATGCGTAACATGTTTTAAGGTAAAACCCACATTTATTAATCCAGTAATGGGCAATTTGCCTAAATATCGCGTTACACCGCAGTCACCTTTCTTTATATGCGGAGTAGATTACGGAGGTCCTATCTTATTAAGAGATCGTCAAACAAGAGGATACAAAAAATTTAAGGCTTACATATGTTTGTTCGTGTGCCTTGTTACAAAAGCAATACATATCGAATTAGTATCTGATTTAACTACGAATAGTTTTTTAGCCACTTTTAAACGATTTATGGCGCGACGCGGAAAACCTCGCGAAATCTATTCCGATAATGGAACAAATTTTATAGGCGCAGCATCAGGATTAAAGGAGCTTTATAAATTTTTGCAAACAAAATCAAATCAAAATAAGATTGTTAATGATATGACCAACGAAGGCGTGTCATGGAAGCACATTCCACAAAACTCTCCTCATTTTGGAGGAATTTGGGAGGCGGGCATAAAGTCGTGCAAGGCTCATTTAAAGCGAGTATTGGGTAATGCCATTTTAACTTTTGAAGATTTTTATACGGTTTTGACACAGATCGAAGCAATATTAAACTCGAGACCAATCTCTCCCTTAAGCTCCGACCCAATGACTATGATCCCTTAACTCCTGGTCACTTTCTTATTGGAAAATCCTTAACATCTACTCCCGATCCATCAGTGCTTGAAACCCTTGATAACAGGCTTTCTCGGTATCAACGACTACAGAAACTTGTGCAACATTTTTGGAAGCGTTGGCACAAAGAATACGTATCGGAGCTGCAGACAAGAACAAAATGGCAAGTTCAACCATCGCAACCAGCTGAGGTAGGCGATATGGTAGTGGTCAAAGAAGACAATTTACCTCCACTACACTGGCGATTGGGGCGTATTCTTGACACACATCCAGGAGATGATGGACTTGTGCGTGTTGTGACAATCAAGACACAAAATGGTGTACTCAAACGTGCAATTAATCGAATTTGTGTATTACCAAAATCATAGACAATATAAATCAAACCAATAGACTGTTATTAACTCAAAGTGTTGAACTATAATTTTAATTTTGAAATCATATACCCTATATTATTTCAAGGGGGGGAGAATGTTCACGCCAAATTAGACGTGACAACGCTGCACTCATATTTTCTAAGAAAATATTACATTTGCAACGACGCATAGGCAATTCGCATCTCAAGATTTACCTAAAAGGGGTCCTGCGAGATACCTGAAGGCGGCACTAACAATATAGTCTTAACCCGGTCGCCAAGCTATCCACACATTCAAATATTCCAATATTATATCAATACTAAAACTTTATCACAAACAGTGTAAATTATATTCTATAAATAAATAAGTGTAAATCTATTTGTTATTAATCAATATTTACATTTTAAACGGTCGATAGAGCCACTAATTCTATCTGGTCCTTCAGCTTACAATCAACAAAAAACAATCACTGTTAATTATTTTTATTTTTAAAGTTTAACGCCTAAAAAAAACATTAATGTATAAAATTGAAGTTCAAGTGTTTAACACATTTCTTAAGTAACTCTTTTATAAAACCTCCCCTTCGGCTACAAAAGCTTTTGTTAAGAACTCAAACAATCGAATCGTCGCATTGGGTTCGCGTTGTTGACATACGATTTTCCGTGTTCGGCTCGGCGAAAACGTTTTCATGCAGACTCCAGATCAAAACAGGCGATTTAAAAAGCTCTCGTTAAATTTCCTTCAGTTTCCACGAACATAAGAACTTGTCTATGTCTGCGATAGTGTGTCGGAAACACGATATGGATTGCCGAGGCTCGTGCATTAAATCAAATGTGAAAAGCCATCTGGCCGTAACACGCTGCGCCGGAGCCGCAACCTAGAGTTTTGCTTGTTTTGTGATGGAGTGAGAGATGAGCGCAATCCGGTGATATATCTCATGTCATTAAAAGCTTTTGAATACGGAATTCAAAATTAACTGCAAAATTATTAAGCCATTTGGAACGAACTGGATAATGAGCCCGATGTGATTTAATAAATTATTTCATTTCAATAGCTCCATATGATATATAGATTTTGTACGAGTGATCATTTCTATGGTACATGAATTATATATATAAATATATATATATATATATATATATATATATATATATATTGTATGATTCTGAATTTGATGTTGACATATGTATTAACAAAGTCTAATAATCGGGCATAACATCAATAAAAAACATGAATTTCTTTCAAAATTTTATTTTAAATCCATACGTTTCGGCTATAATCCTAGCCTTCATTCAGTGGAAAAATTAGTAGATCTTAGTGTTAAATTGGAAAATTTTAATAATCCATGGTATTAGGATATGGTAATGCACTACACTATGTATTATAAACATTAACTTGAAATTACACAATATTTTCACAAAATACTGATTTGAAAAAATAACAAATGGATAGTGTGTTATTCGTAGACTGGTTGAAGATGTAAAAAAATTTTGAAGATTTTTAGACTGGTTGAAGATGTAAAAAAATTTTGAAGATTTTTACATCTTCAACCAGTCTACGAATAACACACTATCCATTTGTGATTTTTTCAAATCAGTATTTTGTGAAAATATTGTGTAATTTCAAGTTAATGTTTATAATACATAGTGTAGTGCATTACCATATCCTAATACCATGGATTATTAAAATTTTCCAATTTAACACTAAGATCTACTAATTTTTCCACTGAATGAAGGCTAGGATTATAGCCGAAACGTATGGATTTAAAATAAATTTTTGAAAGAAATTCATGTTTTTTATTGATGGTATGCCCGATTATTAGACTTTGTTTATATATATATATATATATATATATATATATATATATATATATGGTGGTCCTTGTTATGGACATTTTAGAATTTCCTTGCTCCCAAGAGCTCAAATGGTTCCAAATTGATAAAAAACAATTCGCTGAAGTTTTAGCTCTTAATATTGTCTTTTAAATAGTGCGCAATTCAATGAAAGTTTTGTATGGAAATAGCATGCAAATTTTTTCAAAAATTTTAAAAATGTTTTCTAGATATAATTTATTTTGCGAACAAATGAATGAGTTTTATTCAAAATACCTGAAAATTTTTTTTTTTAATTTTCAAAATTTTTTCCATGCTATTTCAATACGAAGTTTCATTGAATTGCGCACTATCTAAAAGTTAATATTAAAATAAATATTAACTTTTAGATAGTGCGCAATTATCTATATTTAAATATATAATTATCTATATTTATATATATATATATATATATATATATATATATATATAAATTAATATTTCAGAATTGTTTTTTATAAATTTGGAACCATTTGAGACCTTGGGAGCAAGGAAATTCGAAAATGTCCATATTAAGGACCGCCCTAATATATATATGTACAAATATGCAAATATTTATTTGAAATTTGAAAGCAATTATAATAACATAATAGCTGTATCGAGTGCATACTTTTATCCCACAAATATGTATTCGTATTACCTAAGTCATTTTCTTCCTAATAAAAATGTAATTTTTTTAACGTCTTTTTTACTACCAAAATCTAGAATATAAGCGATTTAAAAAATCAAGCCCAATCTTTTGATTATATGATTAAGATTAAGTTTTATCCGTATTGCAACACAAGAAAAAAATCAACGCATAAATTGTACATAAAATACTTCTAAGAATTAGAATAATCTTTTATTTGCATGTCACGACTCTGTTACAAAATAACTCTATAATGAACTACGTATAATAGGAATTCATATCATTTCTATTGCTTTAATACCGATTTTATCGTCATTTTTATTTTAAATAATAATAATGCTGTAAGTAATTTAAAATCAACTATATCGACTTCTAAAACCATAAAATTAAATTCAAACTAATTAATTAAATTTTTCACGTTTTATTGTAAATCTCACGATATATAAAATGATGAAATGAGGAAAACAAAATGAATTTTTTAACGTTGTAAGTTAAATCACGCCTTAATTACATATCAAGATATTTTATAATTCTTATAGTAATTATGTATAGATTTTTTTAATTGATTATTAATAAATAAATAAATTTTTAAACAAACAGTAATCAAAGTTGATGAATCAAGTATCATCCAGGTTTTTAGGGACTATTTTATTTATGCGGATGCCTATTATTTTTGGCCTATTTATTAAATTTATTTAAATTAAATCATGTACTTATATTTTTAAAAATATTAATGAATTATATATTAAATATAATTAATTTAAACTTGTTTCTGAATATGATTATAATAAAAAACAAAAATGACACACTTTTTATCATAAAACTTGTTTGTTAATATGTTAGATATTATGAGAAATACCAAATCATGCAATCACTACTATATCTCAACGATTATAATAAATTGAATTAAATATTTATTAATGTCATGAAAATTTTAATTATTATTGTATCTTACTAGCTTCTAACGATTCTTATTAGAAGATCATATAGAAATAACATCAAATTTTGCATAATGATTTAAAATCAATAGCATCGTAAAATTTCGATTGCTTAGCTCCATATACATGGATATTACCAAAATCTTCGCTTAACATTATATACATTGTAATGTATGTATATTTAACATTACATATAATGTACATGTAAATATGCTCAAATCTACTTTATCTATGCATCCAATCGAGTAAGTTTTGCGTTTCGGGCAAGAAAACGAAACTTTCATTCTTCAAATTGCACAAAAGACTCTGAATCCACATTTTCTGTGCGTACCCGTGGGAATGGTGAGCAGATCTAACACCGATGAACGTTTTTTATTTTTCGGGGCGGTATCAAATCTTTCGGGAAATCAGACTCTATCAGCGTTTATTTTCGAATCGCTTCTTCTGTCTTATATATCAACGCCGATGTATAAAAATTGGGATTCTGCTTGTTGTGTTAAATATCAGAACTCCGTGCCATAATAGGGTGAAAATTAGTAATAGAATATTGTAAGATATCAGGCAGTATAATCCGTTTACATACGAATATAATTGTTCATATATTACAAAATATTGATATGTTCAGAAATAAACGAATGAATACCAAAAAAGTTAGTCAAATACTCAATTATAATTAGTTATGAAGTGATTTTTGTTCTCAAGCATTTGCCATATACATACACATACACATCTATATATATATATATATATATATATATATATGTAAATATAAATATATATTTTTTGTGTGTATGTGTAAGCATTTCCATCAGAGACATCTCATATGTAGACATTGTAAGATTTTATTGCTTGACCATCACATTGTATATGATGCCGATATTACTTTAGTGATCGCAATAAAAAATGCATATTGTGGCTACATATGCTATTCTACATCTCTTATCTCGCTAGCAGCAATATGCGATATAGACAATAAAATCAGAGATTATGGAGTTTTATAACTCGACGATTCTAGATTCTGTAAAATATTGCATATTCTTTGATCCGTTACAAATAATATAACACGTATTTAAAGAAGCGTAGGGCCGGAAAAAAATTATACTAGTGGCAGGCATGATGTCTTAAAGTAAATTTCTGAAACTTTCTGTACCGTAATTAAATATTCGAGAAATAAAAAAAATCAAATTGTTTTAAAGATAGGGACCACATTAAATTAATCAATGATTTATGAAATAGCATTCAACAAAATAAGATAATTAAATTAGACTTAAACATGTGAATGTATTTAAATTTAATAGCATGAATTGTGTAATAAAACTCAAGCAATACCACAATTCACCTGTTTAGGTAACTAAATCTAAGACCGCATATGAACACGTTTTACTGTATTCTATGTTGATAGTAGAAAAAATAATTATAATAAAATTAAATATATATTATCTGAATATTATATAATCACAACTACAGTCGACCCTTCGATAACGCAATGAGGGTTGTACTGTATAGTCCACGATAATTCGTAGCAATCCACGATAGTTCGTAGTTCGTTCTATGAAAACTCTGGAACTACTAATTCCA